CAGTGCTACACTTACACCTAAGCTTTAGGTTTTTTTGTTACTATGCACCACAAAAGTCAAGATCCTACCATTCTCCTACCACACTTGCTCACTACTGAGCCCCTAATTTGTCTACATTTAGCCATTGGCCATTGCCTCATAGCCCTGCTCTCTGCTCATTTTCCACTCAAGTTTTGTTCAGCACGGTCCACCAGTTGATTATTCACAATAAACCTCTACTCTGAAACTCGAGTGTGAGCGCTGTTCTTTGTGTGACTAGTCCTCTTTAGTGTAAACTCGGTCGAGTGGTAGCATAGCATCGTCCTCCACATCAGTGGACAGTAACCGGCTTAGCATACAGACCCAACCCTTTAGCTTGTCTGCAACTGCAGCGTTGTACCTTGTGAGTTTCAGGCTGGACAATGCAGAGTTGGTGGAGGTGAAAGTAGATGGGTCCAGCATGCTGCCATGTTGTCACCTGGTAGTGCCTGACTGTCTTCCCACCAGTGACCCTAACCAGCTGCAGATCAAGTTTAGAGCTTTGGGCATCAAGAAGCCGGTCACTAAGTGAGTCTGATAAATGTAGCTCTTAGTAAGAGATTGACCACCTCTTTTGAGTGAGTGTTGCTGTCTTAAGGAACTAATTTTGAATGAAATTTATTTTAAACCCATAATCTGCTGATCTAAAAGGGTTTCAAGGGCCTGTGCATGGATTATATCAAGAAAATCAAGGTGTAAACCTGTTCAGTACAAGAATAAACTGTACTGTTGAATTGTAAATGGCTGCAATGGATTGTAAATGCATAACATTGTTGTCTTGGTTTCATAGTCTATCACGCTGCCGACTGAGCAACCAATTCACAAATTGATTTATTTAGTTTAGGTTGAATTTTTACTAAAAGAGAACTATTCAACTAGTTTTCTTACAGATGTATCAAAGTGGTCAACACCACTTATGAAGACTACACATTTTATTGGAGGGAAACAGATCAAGTTCAACTGTCAGCGTTTGGATGTTCAAGGCCTGTCAGTCAAGTTTCTCCAGGAAAACATGTTGAGGTAAGCAAAATATTAGTTATATAAAATAACTCAAACTTTTAATGTACGATTGTATTGATAAATTGTTCGAACAACGTTACAAAAGTGCTTAGGTTTACTATGTTTGTAGGTAATGTTCAGTTTCACACCAAGCCACACTGGCAGCTACAAGTCCATCTGGAGGCTGAGTGTTCCTGAAAGACAGATACAGCAGGATATCCTACTGTTGGGAGAAGCTGTTCTACCTTATGTCACACTGTCTCCTACTTTTATTCAGCTGCGGCCTACACTCATTGGTTAGTTCATTGGATTAGCTTCCTTAGATTAGATTCGATTGGTTGAAACAGCTTATCCTGAGTACTGTAAAAGCAAAATTGGTCTAGTCTTGCAAGATATATTTATTATTAGATTTTCAATGGTCTCATTTTGTTTGTTACATGCTAATACATTGTAGAAAACCATGAAATACAATTTTTACACTACCCTATCATCTAACTAGAAAATAAAAAATTATGAAGTTAGCTGTTAATCTTTTATTTAAAGTACAATGCCACTTTCTGCCTGTCTGTAAGCTATCCTAAATGTATTTTTGAAATTATTTATCAGGGGTTCGCAGTGAGGGAAAGGTGGTGCTGGTAAACCATGAAGAAACTGAGCTGAAGTTTGCAGTTGATGCCAACAGTCTGCACTTTAGTACCTGGGGACAGACTCTACAAATCCAGCCAATGAAGGGTGTGCTCCCAAATCAATCTCAGGTGGAACTTAGGTCAGTAATTTTTTTTTCTAAAGTTTCTGTACAGTAATAGTTCACACTGACTCAAGATCAAGATAAAGATGGAAAAGACAATAGTATTATAAGAAACGCTGCGGACAAGCCTCTTTTAAGGCTTATGCAGTTTTGTATTATATAAATTCATTGTATATGTGCTGTACCAAGTAATAAATAATAATAATAATAATAATAGTACTGTAAAAGTAGATTTTGAGATAAGCGCTATTAGTAGATGGTAATAGAGAGACTAGAAGAATCAGAGCTTCTTTTATCTCTCTGGCTTTATAGACACTAAACAATTGCACCGCTCATACCACAGGGTCTAGGTATATGGAATAGTGATGTGTTGGTACCTGAAGGCAACCGTACCTCCGAAGGCAACCAAAAACTATTGTGACAACGTCCGAGAGCATCAATGCTCTCGGACGTTGTCACAATACCGGCGAAATCTGTGATCATTCCCTGTGATCACGACAACATCATCTTCAGCTGCAGTAAAATATCGCTTAGTCATACGTATTTCACTGACATAATAATGAACAAAACGCCAGCAGAGCATTTATTTCTTATGAGTTCTTGCCATTTTTGATTTGGGAGGTTATTTTTTTAAACCTCTTTATACATCTCTTTGCGACCAGGTACTCAACATGGGAAATCTCTGTACTGTTTTTAACTTTTGGAAAACAAGATAGAGGGTAGTCAGAATTTAAGAGCTGCTGTGGTATGGCAAGAGGTGGGAAGTATGATCCCATATCATTTGACCCATAGACACATGCCTACCAAAGGGTCCTAATGTGCCTTGCATGTGACAGGGTGTGGCTATGTCCCACACATCCAGGTGAGGGCCACTTGACTATGCAGTTGGCAGTAGAGAGACTAGAAGATTCTCTCACGTTGGACGTGGCAGCACAATGCTTCTCTGTTCAGCCTCAGCTGGTGTACGTAGATTGTAACAGAATACAGCGGGACATCTTTGCTTATGAAGACAACAAAATTGACTTGGGTGTGGTAAGTCATGTTTTACAAAGTTGTTTCTAATCTTTAACTTTTTTATAAGCACAAAATGTTCAAATTCAAATTGAAGACTTCATTCATCTTTTAGTCCAACTGTAGTCAAATTTTTATCAGGTTCCATTTCAAGCATAGCAATTTTTTATCGTTGTTAGGTAAATCAGGAACAAATATGTATTTAACCTGGCTGTGTCAATATCAATAACAGAGTGTTACAATTAGGCTCAATACAAGGATACGTAAAATATTATAAAAGTGTTGCCTGAGAATCAAATCAGTTAGAGTCCTGACCAAGCATGGTGGTTTAAGTATGGCAACAATGTCATGTTGTACTTTCTTCACTTCTATTCAAGCCAACTCCCAACCCAATAAGATGAATTCTTGTCATGGTATACGTTAATGATAAAAAGAAAAATGTCAATCCCTCAAAAAATTAATCTGGTTCTTTGATTAGGTTTCTGAGGGAAGTAAGGTAACCCCTAATTAAATCTGTTGCCAGGCTGATGTAAACAAATTATTATAGAAGGCTGGCTTACTATAAGTGGCTTGGTGAAATTGTAGAAGGCTATAATAATGTGTATGACATGGCTATACAAAAATGTGTATGACATCTGCACAACAAAGCTGGCCGCAGGTGTTTCCATCGACACAGTTATTTAAGCTGTGGAAGCTTTGATTTGCAGATTTGCGTTGTTTACTGTGTTGTTGTCTATGGCAGTCTTAAGCACGGGTCACATTAGGCTGGCATCAGCGGCGAATTGAAAGAATCTGCTACTGTCAGCGTAATGTGACCACAAAATTCGCAGCTGACATAGCCTGATTGGTGATGCTACATTGTGCAAATGTTTATGACCACCTCTGATACTCCTTCTTGTCAATTTATGTCTGTCAACTGGCAAAGAACTTACAAACTGTAATACTTGGTTCTTTTGTCATACAAGCACAAGGTTAGAAGAGAAGTTTAAACCTAAAGAATAAGTACCTTATTCCTTAAAGTCAGGTAAAGTAGAAGACATTTTATACAGGGTGTTGAAAATGTCTGGAACCAACATTATATCTGGTGAGTGGTTAAGGAAAAACAACTGATATTTTGTGTACGGATATACTATGGTTTTACCTATCTTTTGGTGCCTTATGAAATTTTTTACCACTTATAGGGAACGTCCTGTGGAGGATGCAGTAAAAAGTTTTAATGGAAGCCTATGGTAAATGATACATCATTTTAAAGGGCATTTTTTTCTGAGTAAGGAGCCGCAAGTTTCATCTCAAAAGGACCACCCTAGCAAAAATGGCGACTGTTTGAAATTTAAAAACCCACTCATAGGGAACGTCCTGTGGAGGATGCAGTAAAAGGTTTTAATGGAAGCCTATGGTAAATGATACATCATTTTAAAGGGCATTTTTTTCTGAGTAAGGAGCCGCAAGTTTCATCTCAAAAGGACCACCCTAGCAAAAATGGCGACTGTTTGAAATTTAAAAACCCACTCATAGGGAACGTCCTGTGGAGGATGCAGTAAAAGGTTTTAATGGAAGCCTATGGTAAATGATACATCATTTTAAAGGCCATTTTTTTCTGAGTAAGGAGCCGCAAGTTTCATCTCAAAAGGACCACCCTAGCGAAAATGGCGACTGTTTTAAGTTTTTGAAAATAATTGAAAGCTTAATTGGTATTTATGTTAAAAATAAGTTTAGTAAAACAACACAAACAATTTAGTTAAATGTTTTTTTTAGTCACTTTTCAGTTCACCACGTTATAAACTACTGTACTTCTTAACTGGCTTGTAATAGCATTTAAAGGAAACAAATACGGACCATTTAAATAGCAATGTTTTTAAATTTCAAACAGTCGCCATTTTTGCTAGGGTGGTCCTTTTGAGATGAAACTTGTGGCTCCTTACTCATAAAAAAATGCCCTTTAAAATGATGTATCATTTACCATATGCTTCCATTAAAACTTTTTACTGCATCCTCCACAGGACGTTCCCTATAAGTGGTAAAAAATTGCATAAGGCACCAAAAGATAGGTAAAACCATAGTATATCCGTACACAAAATATCAGTTGTTTTTCTTTAACCACTCACCAGATATAATGTTGGTTCCAGACATTTTCAACACCCTGTATGCTTTTGTAGTGTTATCCAAACAACTTATCACCGACTAATCTAATTTTGTACACTATATTGATAATTACAGACAGAAGTTCGCATCCCGGTCAACATGATATTTCACTTGATCAACATTGGCAAACCTGCTTTCCACTACAGCTGTGACTGCAGTCCTGAGGTGGCTAGTAACAATCAGCTGTCTATCAGTGTTGTCAACCAAACTGGTCTGGTCAGCTCACAGTCTAAACAGCTGATCAATGTTGTTGTCACCCCACTCGCAAGGACTGTCTTCTCTAGAGTAAAACTGGAATTTGTGGTTAGTTTTTTTTAGCACAATTAAATGTGTGTTTATTTATTTTATTTTATTTTGCATGCTACAAAACAGAATACAAATCCCATTTACATTGCAGCACTATTCTAGTTTGCACAAAAATTGAGAACATGCTATGAGTTCATAAAATTGAATTTAGTGATAGAGATAGCTGTTTCATAAGCAAGAAATAATTCATGATTTTTGTATTGGAATAAAAGCTGTCTTTTATTAAAATTCACTCATAGAGGAGGAGTAATAATTTAAGTTACACAGTTCTGTCTCCCTTTTTGGGGATTATGTCTTCCAACTCACTTCACTTCAGTCAACTGTTTAGCTGCTCAGGTTCTCTTATCCACAAATTTTTTATGTTTTTATACGAGAATGGGCCAAACCCTAGTGTCTTGTTACTATCTAACCTCAGAACCTTTTGTTAAAGAGCGTAAAGAGAGAATAATTGATAGTCCTATGACAAATGGCATCTGGGTCAGATTCAATCTAGCTTGTAATTAAAAAAGCTTCCTCCAGATTTGTAGGCAACCATTATAACTGTTTGGCTACCCAGGCAGTTAAAAATAATTGCTGTTGTGTATTTCAATCCAAAACCAGTCAGCAACCTGTTTGAAAAGTAAATCAAGGGTCTTGAATTCATTTTATTATATTTCATATTTTATAGTATGCAACAACATGAAAATTTACCTTACATGAATTTATTTTCCAGATTAGTAAAGGTCCAAAATTCACAATATATCTGAGTGGTACTGCAGCCCAACCTCAATTCAAGTTTTCAAAAACAAAACATGACTTTGGTGCTTGTTTCGTTTTGCCACCTGGTACGGAAGCATACAAAACAGACTTGGTGTTTACGAATACTGATGAAAAACCTCTTTTGTAAGTGGAAGAATTTTATCAAATATTGTAATTTAGAAATTAGTATTTATTACACAGTTTTTGCCAGTGCATGTTTTACTTGTGCCTACTTTAGTGCAGGGCCGTCCGAAGGGGGGGGGGCAACCGGGGCAAGCCGGGGCAAGCCGCGGCTGATGGGGCGCCGTGCCGCGGCTATTTGTATTGATATAGTATTAACCCCACGGGGGTAGAGTGGGCGCCACGACCACATTTGCTCCGAGCGCCGCCAACCCTAGGGATGGCCCTGCTTTAGTGCAGTTCAAATGAGGAGTTAAAGCAGTCGCTGATAACAAATGCTTGTTATTTGTCATACTTCTTAGTACATAGCAATGACAGGTGTCTAATAGCTTTGACAATTGGAAGTAGTAGACATCCCCATGAAATAAAAATGTATTTAAGAGGCAAAGTTAGGACTTGCATGTCCTCTTACTACTTAACCTCTAAACATAAATCAAACTATTCAAACTAAACATGATTAAATTGAATTTACTAATCCTTAAAAGTCCATTCACACAAGCCGCCAACAACCTGTCACACCAGCGCCATAGACTCACTCAAGCCTGCTGCTCAATATAATGGATTTAACAGTAGTACAGCTCATGTTGAAGTTGTTGTTAGTTTCAGTATGAAAATGAACCTTGTTGAATTGATCCACTGACAGAGTATAGTTGCTGATTTATGTTGCATACAACAAACACTTTAACCCAGCCATACGGAAATCCCTATCATGGAATCTTTAATGTCACATAGAGTACGGTATTGGAAACTAAGATGACTCTGTGACTCTAACCAAGAGACTAATGGACTCTGTAATTGGCTAAAATATAGCATTTACTACTTTTGGCTATTTCTATCCCTTCTGCCCTTTTAAACATAATTGGTAATTTGTTACTACTAAGGAACATTTTTTATTTCAATTCACTTAATTTATGTCACAGGATTGAGGCAGAGTTTGACCCAAAGCCCCACTTAAAGATTGGACTTGGACAGACTGTTGTGGACCCAAGGTCCGAGGTTCGTATTCCTGTCACGTTCCTTCCCCAGGACTGCCAACCGTATGAGGAGACTTTGAGCTTCTTGGTTGATGGCAGCTACCACCACCAGGTCAACATCAGTGGCAGGGGAGTAGACCTCAACGTAAGTGGCTGTTGGAACTTGGCATTGAACTGTCAGTAGATATCTTGTTATTCTAGCAAACCACCTCAAGATCAAACTAATTGCACTTAATTCTTAGCTAATTTAATAGTACAAAGTCCAACTAGCAGAAACAGTCAGAATGAAAAAAATCTTATTTATTATGTAGAGTTAAAAACATAAAAAGTAGCCTACATGTCAAAAAAACAAATTAAAGAATCACACATTTTACTCTTTGAGCTACATCTAAACTCATTACTACGGACATAAACTTCCTCTTACAACTAACTATCTATATGCAAATGTAACACAACAAACATTGTTTAAAGCTGTGTCTTTTGGAGCACAATTGCTCAAGCTTACCCCCCAGGAATCAGGCATTTTGCCGCTTTTTGCCTATCTTCTGTGTGTGATAGTGGTCTGTGGGTCGCCCATGTTATCGGGTCGAGTCGGGCCAACATTTAAATTTAGGGCTTTTATACCTGCAATCTTAGAAAGCTTAGGGGACCTAATAAACAATCAAAGGGACCTAAAAAATCGTACTGGTTTTGTAGTGACTGCGGAAGATGTTTTCAATTTTGCCACTTTAATACTTTTCCATAGCAAACCAATTCGGGCCTGACACCCAAAGGCCAAGATTGTTTTCACGACCCGACCTGACCCAAAGTAAAAATGTCTCCTGAAGAAGTAAAAAAGGACCCCTAGTATGTGTACACCAAAATTTGTTTTAAAGCAACTTTTATTTTCATGTTCTTAAGTTAAGGAAATTCATATTAACAGTGGACATAATAAAACTACTAATTGATCCGGAAAGTTAATAGCGCAGTTATTTTGGGGCAGGTAACTCTTGTGTTCTAATTGCAGGTGATGCTAGTGAAGCCAGAGGATAAGCTGATACAGCTAGAGGGTGTACTGGTAGGTAAAGTGAAGCAAAGGACTGTAGAGATTGTGAACAACAGTGAGGCTAGTGTCACAGCCTCCTTTGCTTTAGAGCCACCATTGTCTTCAATCTGCCTCAGTCCTAGTGAACCTGTCGCCCTGAGGTGTCACCAGGGTGCAGCACTGAGACTCACCTTCACACCCGACAGTGTGGTCAAGGGGTTGCGGCAGGAGGTGAGATCACTATTTCTTCAACTGTGAAAATAATTACGTAGATAATTTATTCGATCTCAGTCTAGAATTGACATAATATCACAGCTTTTACCTAATGTTGGTACGGTATAGTTTTAGGTAAATTTTATTTGAATGATGGTGGTATTCAATATTTCTTTCACAAGTGATGTGTCAAAACCGAATCTCTAATCTCAAAAGTAAGTTTCAGTTTTGATGTTTAGTTGATGAATGTCAAGATTGAAAATGTCAGGTGTCTGAGTCAGCCCATTCTTTCAGCTTTGAATCCGTGATAAATATTTTATTTTTACTTCAGTACTTGCATTTTTAGCCTTCATTAGGCAAGTAAAACAGTTCCACATTTAGGTTTTGACATTGAAGATCCGGTATCGACACTTGAAATTTCAACCATCACAAATTTCTTCTATACAAACCATTTATTTATGTTTTCAGCTAGTTTTGAACTGCAGAGGTGTGAGGAAGGTGATGTCTCTAGTACAAGCCAGTTCTGTGGGGGTCAGTGTTAAGATTGACAGGGACTACTTACCCTTCGGCAGTGTTGTCATCGGAAACTCTCCGACCAGTAAACTGTTGCTATCCAACAACGGTGACTTGGCTGTCAAGTATGTAATGGCTTAGATTCAGTTCTTAGAATTCAGTTAGATTCTTTGTTACTCTACAAATTGAATATTTGTAGTTTTAATAGCAGTAACTGTAGCTATGTTTTGAATGTTATGCAAGCAAAAATGTAAACTGTATTATTTAGGTGGGGATTTGTGCTTTGTCTGTAAAGAGTCTATAGTTAGTATAATTTAAAACTTAAACATGCATATGACTTTCTTGCTGGAAAGAGCTATCTTAATTAGTGCTTATGTATTTAGGGTGTTCAATAAATTACCGATTACAATTTAATATTATTGATTTGGCAATATTAGAGTAGATTCTTATATAGATGATCCTTCAGAGCTAGTTTTCACTAGTAGTTTATTGAGTCTTTTAAGAGTTAGTAGGTTTACTTATTCTACTCTAAATCACTACTTTTCACTGTAAGGACCACTTGGTAAAATTTGTCACCATGAGTGAAAAGTAAGATGCGAGGTTTCTTTCACAACACAAATCAAATACCACTTTTGTACAGATTTTGGCCAGTCTCCTTCATCCCAGCATTGAATTACTGAGTGTAGGAAACTATAAAGTGTTGGATAGTCAAGAATCAACTGTAGGCCTATTCATATTCAATTAAAACTATTTATGTTGGGTTGTTGATGTGATTTGTAGGTTTTCTTGGCAAGTTAGTGACTCAGTGTTCTCAATATCTCCAAGTGAAGGGTTCCTTGCGGCAGGCACTGATGTTGTTCTTACTGTCAAGTTTTCACCGCAAAAGATTCAACTGATTGAACATGCCAAGGTAATGTATGAGGGGCTGGACTCAGGGTCCAGGGGAGTGTCCAGCTGACCTGGAAACCGGGAAAACTGGGAATCGTTCATAAATTTTGATGTCCGGGAAAAATCCGTGAATTGTAAGAAAATTTTGTAAAGAATCAGGAAGTTACAATTTTTGATTAATAGTCAGAAATCACAGATTCTTCTTGTTTTGGGTAATTAAAGATCACGTGAGATTTATTAACAGCTCGACTATCAAGGACAGCGGTTTCCAGTTTCAAACCACTACAGAATGTATATGGGTTGAATTGGCGACCTTCTGATTATTGGGCAGCACTAATATAGGTACTCAGTTATTCTCATATTTCTCGTAGATACGCTAAGGTGGTAGCAAAAATGTTAGTTACAACACTGGAATAAGGAAAGTAATTTATAAATATGAAATAAAAATAAAGGTTTTGATTAAAAGACTAAAAGTATAATTTTATATTAGCATTGTGTTTCCCCAGGCGGTTTGCACCCTGACCAGTGGTCATCAGCTGATCATCACACTGTCTGGTGGTTGTGTAGAACTTCCTCCTCCCTCCATGACCATCCCTCTGTCCTGCCCTGTGCGAACAACAACGGCAACGCACATTCCTGTGTTCAACAAGTAATACAACAGAAACCTTAGTCACTAAGATTTTATCCCTTACTGGGTGACAAAGGTTCTGAGAAATTTAAGCATTTCACACATGTTTGAAGTCAATAAGTGATGACAATTTTGATTTGACGGTATGTGAATATTGAAAGGATAGTTTTTTTTTTCTTGTGAGCTGCACTCTCCATGTATTTACAATGTTTGCTACAATCATAGGAGACTTCTTCAAGTTTTTGTGGCAAATAAAATCCACATAATTGCTAAAACTTAGTGCTAGTGTTCCTCGAGTTCCACCTATGATCTAAATTTGCTTAATTTTTCTCATCCCTACTGTATGTATATCCACAAAAAACGTATTTTAACAAATTTCAGATGTGTTCACAAGTGGAAGTGGAAATAAGATATTAAGGGTGCGCTCTACCTCAGCTCGGAAATCTTAGCTCGGGCTTCAGAAGCTATGTTGCGCCATTGAACAGCGCCGTGAGAAGCGCTTGCAGACGTTCAGGGCAACTGTCTTTGTAAACTACCCATACATGCTAGTAAAAAACAATGAATGGGGTTTTACAGAACAAAGAACAATCTATGCGACCCTGGTTTTAGAATTTTAAAGTAACAATTCTATAATGAGTTAAAGCAGTCTAAAATTACAGATTTTCGTCCACATTCAAAGAAGATTTTCAGGTTTTTTGGTACGATAACATATTGAAACCACAACAATCTAGATAATTTAATCCTCCTCAAAATTCCACCCTAACTTTGATTCTACGTTAAGTGTAGCTTTCGGAAACACAGTTGCCCCAGACCCTTGCGTTTAAACAAAACGGCAGAGGTAGAGTGCACCCTTAACAGGCATAATCAAATCAATAAGAAATTCCTATAGCAGAAAGGGATCATCTTTTTTTTATAATTTGAGAGTGTGATTTGTAATATATTTGTTAGGTATGTTTCAATTTTCTTTGCTTGACTTGCAGATTTGGCCAAGAGGTAAAGTTGACAGCCAACATCAGTGGTGAATGTTTCTCAGGTGACTGTGCTGTGATGATCCCTCCCTACGGCACACATATGTTTGAGATCACCTACTCTCCTTTGACCATGACCTCCCGAGCTCAACCTCACAAGGTCCACAAAGTATTTTGTATTTTTAAATCATTAATATAGCAGACCAAAATCTATTGTTAGTACTTTTCCAATTTTTCATAAATTATGCAATTGGGCTGTTTCAAGGTTATGCTAATATTTTTGTTCATCGTTAATTGTTCAGTGTAGTCCAAATAACAACATTTGTAAAGCATTTTAGAGAAGTATGACTCGATACAATATAGTTGTATATTTTTGTAAACAGGGCACTGCCATATTCTACTGTGTTGACGGGACCTGTTTAGTCTACAGCCTGGAGGGGACAGCCACAGAACCTGTAAGATCAGACAGATTGGTGACTCAGTTGGAAACACACACAGAACACACACTGCTGGTACCTGTACACAACTGGCTACAGACCCCTCAGAAGTGAGTGTACTTAGTATGTAAATCACCACACAAACGATTTGCTGTGTCGTTACTGGAGTAACTTTTTTGTATCCACTCCACACCATATCATTTTGTTTGAAAGAATTAAAAAATTCTTTTAAGGGAAAGCGGGCAAACCCCCGTAAAATTGTGTTCATATGCCAGAGATCAAACGTTTTCCCTCTCGCACTGATGTCTGAAACGCTAACCCAAACGCTAGTAACACTCCCGGTCAAGCATCTACCACATAAGCAACAGGAATATGCAGGGAATACATGGAGCGAGCCAAGGGAAGTGTTGGTACAGTGTAGGGGTAGATAGGGTAGATAGAATGATTATGAAATGAGCACAGAGCCAGAATTTAATCTTATGGCTTTATTAGCCGTCCATAATCGGTAGCTTTGAAGACTACTTTACCAATACACTAATTCAATGCTAGTCTGTTTTAATGTAAACAATTTTGTCTATTTTGTTGTTGTATTTACACATCCATTACACTACTCACCCACTTTCTCAATAATCGTAGTTGCACTATCAAAGAGAATGTTGCTATAAATAACATTGCACGTTCAGCTGCAATTTTGAATGTTGAATTAAATTGCTAACACATATCAAAAACATGAACTTTTAAAAAGAGCTTCCCTCTTCCATATTTCCTTGTCTAAGGAGTAGTAGTACTTTTATAAGATCCACATTGCATGTTTCAGGTTCCGTGTAAGCCACGAACTCTTGTCATCCACACTGAGCCGTCCAACCTACCAGCTGATTTATAACGAGCTGTTCATGGTGTCAGGCTCTCACACGAGAGATATGACTCTCAAGTTTGTATGCCACTTCCCTGGCTCAGTTGTTTTCAAGGTAGGTTCAACCAGTTAACACTGATAGTTAGGTATAGTTGAATTTATGTAGACATTCTAAATGAGAACAATCTCATGAAACTGATTTACTGGGTTTAAGAAAGCACATTATATTTATTTATTTATTTAGACAGTGTTGAGTTTTTATGTAATAAACTTTGTCAACTTCCTTGACCACAGGTGATGTTGACTAACGAGTTATCGGGTGACTACCAGTGGTATGAAGTGGTGTTTGACATCACCCCCTGTCCTCCTCTGACACACATCTGTCTAGACACCCATGTGAGACAGGAGACGCTACATGAGGTGATGTTCTACAACCCCCTGGACCATCCTGTGACTGTCAGCTGTGAGGTTGATGCGCCGGGACTGTCAGTCATCAACACTCCGCTGGAAGTTCAGTCGCTGCAACAGGTGAACAATTCTGAAAACTATATCTTTTGTCAACTTGGTTGAATCTTAGTCTTTGAGAGTTTACCGTGTTTTTGATACTGTACAATACTTTGTTTCCGTTCCATTAATCCATCAACTAAATTGTAGCAACCAATATAAAACATTGTCTAGTATTATCACTGTTTCAACTAGGTTGTGAAATCTTGACCAAGATTCGATAGTATACTTTTACCATGTGTTACAGGGGAAGATGAAGCTGAGATATTTCCCTCTGTGGCCATGTGATCACTCAACATTCCCTCTAGAGCTGGGTTGTAGTGAGCTGGGGAGTTACCCTCACACAGTGACAGTGTCTGCCACTCCTGCTGAGCCTGCAGCTCCTGTGTGTGTCAGGTGTAGTCTGGGACTGTCGGTCACCACTCAGCTAACACTCAACAACCCTACTGACACACAGGCCACCTTCCAGTGCAAGGTGAGAAAACCTCAGGTGTATGGTAGAGTTGGTACAGCTATCAGCTAGGTAAATATATGACATAGAACAAACCAAAACCATTTTCAACTGCAATTAGTTGTACAGGAATATGTTTTAAACCCAGTTTCTGCATCATACTTGATCAGACGACATAAAACATGTTGCAAAAATAGTTTTAGCTGGGTTAGACGCGGAACAAGTTAGAAAATTTATTTTAAAAGGTTTTAAGAAAAGTGGTTTAAGAATCATCAAAGCCTTAATTTAGAATGCCGTTTCATGAACGATAATATAAAAAAAAGCCTTTTTATATACAAAAAATACTTGTAAATCAATAATTTTGATTTGTTTAACAGTATTTTAAAGTGTTTCTCATATTTATATTTGGATAATTTTTAACTCTAACTTAAAATACACAATAAAGCAAACAATATTTTTGTTGGTAAAAAATAATATTCTGGTGAGTATGTCTATTTTATTTCTGCAGTATTTCAATATAATAAATATGTAAGTTTTGACACAAGTTAAAAAATAACCTCAGAAAGCTTTTTAAAAAGTAAAAAAGCTAAATAATGCTATTTCACATCATAAAATAAACAATTCTGCTATGTGTAGTTGGAGGCTAAGGAGCGCCATACCTGCCCCCTAAAAGCAAACGTTTTACGTTTACGTTTTTTTCTGGTCCAGGTGCACTATTCCACTGCTAAAATTGCCATGACGCCACTGGTTTTCTTAAAACGTGGCATAGCTTGTAAAGGTATAGCTCAAATAAAGCTGTCTGTTCATTGTCAGCACAGGATCTCATGGGAGAAGAAAGAACCAGTACTGAGGATCTTTTAAATAGTTAATTTTTAGAAAAGTCACCTGAAATGAAAATACTGTGAAACCTAATAAAAATTAAGTTAAAATGTGTGCGTTAGGAAGTAAAATGAATAAAGAAGAATTCAATGATACCCGAAGAAGGTGTGAAGTACTGTATAGTAGGACACAAAATTAAAGTCCCACGTCTGCAGGTAGAGTGGACCCGTCCTAATCCTGCTTGTCAAAACAAATCTATTGTTGGGAGCTTGGCGATGCAGGCGGACTGGGAATACCGCCCTCCCCTCGCTGTTCCTAGAAATTCTGCGTCCTACTACAATTTGCATGAATTGAACCATAAGACTTCGAGCATCATGCAAAGGCTCATTTTGTTCATCTTTGAAAGAGGAATAAAAACAATTTTGAGTGAACACTCTACAATTTCCCGTTACCAAGTTATCAAATCAAGGAGTTAGTCTCGATGTATGCGGAATTTCTAGGAACAGCGAGGGGAGGGCGGTATTCCTAGTCCGCCTGCATCGCCGAGCTCCCAACAATAGCTTTGTTTTGACAAGCAGGATTAGGACGGGTCCACTTTACCTGCAGACATGGGACTTTAATGTTGTGTCCTACTATAAACTCGGTATGTTTGCCACAGATTTCAAAATAAATACCCTCACCTCAGAAGTATGGATAACCAAGTATTGGAGATAATTCCAAATGGATCAATTTTTTGAATCAATGAAAGCTTAAGTCCTTAGTCCACAGTTTATTACACTAACCACCCATTTTGAGAAAATTTTCCAAAAAGTACATGGCGATTATAAAAAAAAGGTCGAACCTAATGAACGACATACCTACATATTTTGAAGAGAGAAGTTGATCATAAAGAGAAGATTTTTCTGAAACCTTTTATTATGACCTGGATCAGAACACGAACATATATAAAAGTAAAATAGCTTGTTCAACACTATATTCAATATGGAATATAACACTAATAATCTTTGGAAATTTACAAAAAAACATCATAAAAAAACAAGCAGTTTGTGGTAGGGGGGCTTGCACGTGACGTAGCTGCGCGAACTGGACGAGTTGACGCCTCGCAATACACACGCTTTCTTTTATTTGCCTTGGGCCTGCTGTATGTTACTTTATTTCAAATTATGATCAGACTTTTAGAATGTTAATAAAACATATGTTTTCAGAGTTCACACCCAGATGTAACAGTGGCTGCCTCAGTTGTGGTGGGTCCTGGTGAGTCTAGGCCACTGCAGGTTGTGTTCCAACCTTCCTCCCTCTGTGAAGTGGCCTGTGACATAGTTGCCACATCACTCCAGGCTGGGGAATATGTGTAAGTTATGTTTGCATGTATACAGAAACGTATTGAACACTTGAAATATCTTGATTTTCCTCCCTCATCTAATGGTGATTTTTTTAGATTCCAAGTGATAGGAGTGGTGAGCTATCCAGAACCGACGGGACCGTACATACTAAAACCAGGTTCATCCAGAGTTGTCTCCTTCAAAAACGTTTTCAGGGAAGACAAGACCTTTGTACTGTCTATTGATAATCAAGCCTTTTCTGTGAAAGCAAAAAGAATTGTCTTGAAACCGAGTGAGGTTTGTATATAAGCTGTTAAGTTTACTCTACTGTATATTGTTTTAGAGGTAACTATAAAAATTAGTTAAATATTGTAGGCATATGAAAAATGTTCTAAACATTGTGTTTATAAATTTTTACTCATTCAATTTATTTACACTAGTCGTTGTTATACATTTTTGTATTGGTTTTGCTGTAGGGTGAATATGTATATATTATTTATAAAAATACAATATAATTTTAGCAAATTTTTAAACTTAGTATTTGTTAACCTAGAAACTATCAAATGTAACTTAAGATCAAATTTAATATCAGAATACTTCTTTACTTTCTAAAATAAAATCATTTTTCAGGTAGCTAAAATTGAGATAAAAATGCTGCAGATTGGTGAAAAGGAATTCCCACTTTACCCAGTTACAGGGAAAATGTCTGTGTTTTCTGAAGACAACTCTCTTGCACACATCAAATGGGTGTTTTACCTCCATGGAGAATTGATTTAAAATGTTGTTAACAAAACAACATGTAGGTAAAATGTGAAGTTGGATGAAGAGTATGAAACATAATCAAAAATGCTATACTCTTTTGTTTAATTTATTGTGGAACCAGTGAGAAAATATGTTCTGTCACAGAATCAATCATTTAAATCCAAAATCTAATAGTTTCTTACTTAAAAATAGTAAACATATCAATTATCAATCTTTTTCAATTACTTTTATGCTAACTGCAAAACATAACAATATTGTATTTTGAATGTCAAAATATATTACTTATCTATCAGCAGATATCTTTTTTAACTAAGAAGTTTGTATTTGAACATTTTCTCAGGTTTATTTTAAAATCATGTTTGTAGACGGATATACTGATACTGAGACTTGTGGCACCACATGTTAGAAATTCACAGTGAACTGTAAGCTCTATTCTGCCTCTGCTTTTTTGCTCCAGAGTTTCCTACAAATTTCCCTCTAGCCCAGCACATTTAAATTACATAAATATATTAATACTAGCTGTACCCGCGAGCTTTGCCCCGTTTAACTTCTTAATTTTCAAGATGAGCTTGTTCACATGGCTCAATCAGGTCCTGGTTGAAGTTCGTTCGCTACGCTCACTCACCTTTAGGTTGGAGCTCGTTCGCTGCGCTCACTTGCCTTCAGGTTAGCTCGTTCGCTACGCTAACTCGCCTCCAGGTTGAAGTTTGTTCGCTACGCTCACTCACCTTTTGGTTGTTTAATTGAAACAGCTGTTAAGATTCATTAATTCCTTTGAAATATGAAAAATAATAAAGTTAACATGGGAAACCCCAGAGCCACTGGGGCGGAGCCCAAAAGCCCGATCAGGATAAAAACTATTTAGTTTTCATATTTAATCCCCAAAGAATCGGGTACCGAATTTGAGCCTCCTAGGTAAATGGGAAGTGGGAGAATTAGTGATGAGTGAGTGTGTCAGTTACTCAGTGAGGGCTAGAGGGCTTTGCCTTTTATAAGTGTAGATTAATACAGGAAGGTTGAAAGAAGAATGAAGCCTAAGCAGGAGACAGACAGGTGAAGAAATGCTTATTAATGTAATTGTTATCTGCAGTAGAAGGAACATGAACCTATGAGAACATCTCTGGCTCAATTTATGTGTAAGGAATCGGAGGTACTTGGAAGAAACGGAACCCCCTGGGCAGTGTTGACATGCATTTTGATGACTGGGAAAAGTTGTGAATCCTACTTAATTTGGTATGGACCAAGAATTTCTGAGTAATCTCAAAAATGGCTGAGACCCTATTTATTAACGGTGTTACATTAGTTTTATTTTACGTTTTGGAAAATCACTTCATCACGATCACTAATGTGCCACTGATACTGCAAGATATGATCACAGGTATTACCCCTATTGCCGGAAACCATAATGGCGATACCGCCAGATATACTCACAGCTCACGGGTATTGCCACAATCGCCAGATATGATGATGGTATCACAAAGACCGCAAGATATGCTTAAGCCTAGTCCACACTTGGCGATTTGTCTCCGTAAACATTGACGGCCGACTGTTTCGGTAAAGCTGCCTTTTGTATCTGCGATGTCTCCAGATTATTGGGTGACTGTTGGCAGACAAATCTCCGTGTTCCTGGAGACAAAATACAGTGTTTTCTGTTTCCCATATGAATGAGAAACTTGGAGACAAGAGACAAGTCTTTTTGAGTCTGCATGTATGGAATTGTTTGGAGACAGGAGATTGGTTACAACTTACAACCCAAACCTGCTGGAGTTCAGGGATGAAACTGCAGCCCTGTAACACATACAATTCTTTGTTATCTTTGACCCAACAAAGCCTTTAACAGCACAATATGTAGGAGTCATTCTTGTCAAGTTTCTGAATCCTGTGCCATTTCCTTATCGAAGGTCTGATGTGTTGACTAATGTGTGAAACTTTCTAGAGAAATTTTGCGAGTCCACCATTCCTCGGTCCTCAGCCACATGGTTAAGAAGTAAGAATCATGCACAGGATAAAATCGCGTTCTTTTATTTCAGTTGCCAATGCCATACCAACAAAAATACTGGCTGGCTAGTGTAGACGCAGAACAAATCTGAAACTGTTATCCAAAATTGTGTTGACAGCCTGTTTTTTTTTTTTTTTTTTTTTTTTTTTTTTTTTAATAGAGGGCCAGGCTTCAAGTAACCATGGGATTGCAACGCAGCTAGAACAGCTTATTGTGCACCCTCATTCACAGGTCCTCATTCTTTGTCAAATCCCAGGTCCTTTGTGAACCGTGAGATCCTTTTGACAATGGTGACCCGTTCTACCCTTTGATCTCCAGTCGATAGGCCAAGGGATCTCATGCGCAGACCTTGTAGGGCTGGGCACATAAAAATCACGTGGAATGCTGTCTCCTCCTCCTCTCCACATTTCCTACATAAGAGGCTTTCAACTTGAATTCCCATCTTGTGTAAATGTCCACGGAATACCCAATGGCCGCTAATAAAGCCAACCACCTTCCGCAGGGTCTTCCTACTCAGCCCAAGGGCTTCTGCCGCTATCGCACCTGTAGGTGCCTTCAGCATTCTCTTTGACTGTACATTTCCTTCTGTTCTTTCCCAGTTCCTTTGATGTTCTATGCCCATCCACTGGCGAACAGCTCTCCGTGCTGTGTTGTAAGCAATACCACACGTCGGCTCTGGACCCATGAGCGGGCTTTCAGCTCCTTTGTTTGCCCACTTGTCAGCTCCCTCATTGCCAGCAATACCTTTGTGCCCTGGAACCCAACTAAGGATGATCCTGTTGGTCTTTCCCAGGGCTTTCATGGCTTGATGACAGTCCCATACAGCCTTGGAGGTAAAGTCGAAACTGTCAAGTGCCATTAGTGCTGCTTTGCTGTCTGAGTTCATGTATATAGTGTGACCTATAAGACCGCGCTTCAAACACACTCTCGCACACTCAGACAGGGCCACCACTTCTGCCTGGAATACAGTGGCCATTTTTCCCAAACTTACGCATAACTGCACCTTGGGTCTGACTCCATATATTCCAGCCCCCGTGCCCGTTGGCTTTTTTGAGCCATCCGTATACCAGGTGATCCCCCTTTTCATGAATTCAGGTTCACCCTTATTCCAGGCATCCCTGTCAACAATGTTGACATTGTATGGTTTTTCTAGATCTGTGATCTTCACCATCCTGTCTGGTAGCATTTCCAATGAGTTCTTTTGCACCTTGTCTACAATTCTTGTGTGCTCACTGGAGGCATTATACTTCCAGTTGCCACTACAAGCCATTCTGTAGGCTGCCATCCTTGCCTCTCCTTTCACAATGATGTCGAGAGGTGGCAGGTTTAGCACTACTTCCAGGGCTGCAGTTGGAGTGCCTCTCATGGCTCCTGTGATGCTAAGGCATGCTACTCGCTGGATCTTTTGTAGTCTCTTTACAGCGGTAGTTTGCATTACCTTGGTCCACCAGACCACCGAGCCATACACCATCATCGGTCTTGCGACCCTAGTGTATAGCCAGTTAGTCATTTGTGGACTTAGACCCCAGGTCTTCCCAACAGCCCGCCTCATCATCATAAGTGTGGTCTGAGAACGTTGCGTTATATGTGCCAAATGGCTGTTCCAGGTGAGCTTGTCGTCCAGCCTTATTCCTAGGTACTTGAACTCCCTCTTAACCTGGATCTGAATACCGAAGAGAGTTGGTACTCTAGCGATGTCAACATTTCTCTTCCTTGTAAATGGTACCATTACAGTCTTCATTGGATTGACAGCCTGTTGGTTGACAGCCTGTTATGTTGACAACTCAGTCTCCAAGTGTAGACTGTACAGGGTGTTCAAAAAAGGTGGAGGCATAATTTATGTTGTGATTCTTTGGGTCAAAATAAAGAGAAAATAAAAAATAACTTGTTTTCCAAAATCGCTTTGTTAACCAAATATCCGCCATTTTGTATTTTTTACATAACAATTTTTATCTTTGAATTTGTTCAATCTAGGTAAAAGAGACCCACGTTAGAAAAAGAATTCATTTTGATTTAATTTAAAATTTCAAATTGGTGGCTATTTTAATTTGTTTGACTTAAATTACTCAAAAATGGATGATTTTATGAAAAAATGCCAAGGACACCTTTTATTTAGCATTTTCCCCCTATCAAACGGTTTCTAGTTCAAAAAGGCCGAATAAGAAATAGCTGAAATATTACGATTTTTCGTAGTAAAATGGGGCAAACATGACTACCGTATAGCTTCTGCTTCATTCTACAAATAACTAGATTTCTAAAATTTAAGCTCCTCGACCACTATACGATTTCTTGTTCGGCACTGTGTTGACTGATTCTGCTATCGCCAGAGACATTCAATGATGAATTCCCATTTGCATATTGGCTTATTCTGCAATTTGTGAGAGGCCTGCGCCTTTGGCGCGCCACATGGTTGACCGGAAAGGGTTGTGCGTGCCCCAATTTATGTTGACCGACTATTTGGTGCAGGGTGCAGTCATTTGGAGCTATCGATGCTTACCCCGGTCGGCCCGGTCATGGTGATGGTGGTCACTGACACCCATTTCCCTATAGCTCAACCATTATTACCTCAGCCGGGCCGTGTTCTGGCAAGCAAGGGATTTTCACCGTCTTCAACCGTTGCCACTACGAGTACTTCCTCAGACTAAGGGGCGGGGTGCAAGCACCCACGCATTACTGACCACCGATTTTTTAAAGACTTTTATGTGTAATTTGTCAGGGACCGAAGTTCTCCCCAATGCGGAGGGCTTCTTGCACCCTCCACTCCCTGGCGGTATCGCCAAGACCTTGAGATAAGCTCACGGGTGATGTCGCTATCGCCGAGACCGCAAGATATGGTTACGGTTGTTATCGCTACCGCCAGAGCCGATGACGCTATCGCCGATCGAGACCGCAAGATGAGCTCACTTCTGGTGTTACCGCTACCGCCGGAGATGATGACGATATCGCCGAGACCGCAAGATAATTCTCAAAGGTGTTATTGCTATCGCTGGAGACGATGACGGTACCGCCGATCAAGACCGCAAGATGAGCTCACTTCTGGTGTTACCGCTACCGCCGGAGATGATGACGCTATCGCCGAGACTGCAAGATATGGTTACGGGTGTTATCGCTACCGCCGGAGATGATGACGATATCGCCGAGACTGCAAGATATGGTTACGGGTGTTATCGCTACCGCCGGAGATGATGACGCTATCGCCGAGACTGCAAGATGTGGTTACGGGTGTTATCGCTACCGCCGGAGATGATGACGATATCGCCGAGACCGCAAGATAATTCTCAAAGGTGTTATTGCTATCGCTGGAGACGATGACGGTACCGCAGAGTCGAAACCGCAATATTTGTCACAGTTGTTACCGCCACCGCCCGATACTATCATGAATGGTATCACCGAGACCGCAAAGATATGATCACGGGTGTGGCCGCTACCGCCGGAGACGATGACTGTATCGCCGAAACCGCAAGAATTGTCATTTGTGTTACTACATCTCCGGAGACGATTAGGGGTTTGCCGTAACCGCAATATATGCTCACGCTCACGGGTGTTATCGCTATCATCGGATTTGATGACGGTGTCACCGAGAATACATGATATTCTTAAAAGTGTATTTTTGCGATTGCGAGGGACAATTTTCATTTTTCACTATTAAAAATATTACAAAATATTTTTCAATCGGCGAGCACGTAATACAATTTTATTATGCGTTCGCTGTTTTCAATAGCTTACTCTAGGCCTGATAAAAGATGTTCACAGGTCCGTAGGTTGGACACCAGGACACCTCCAGTGAAGATAAGTAATCTGGTATGCCATGGTATGTGTTGTATACTTTGTAGTAATCTGAGGTATGTGATAGATAGATTGTGGTGTGCTAGCAGACTCAGACAATCCTTTTCTTGCCAGTTCATTAATGTGAGTATTGAAGCGATGAAGCGGCTGCCTCATTTAGATGCAGTGCAAGTACGTAATTGCGTCAATCCCGGCACAATGCTCCTGATTGACAAGCCAAACAATTTGCTTACAACAATGCAGCCCGTCGGGTCTTTTGCCACCATTTTACAATTACCGACATTGTTCCCAGCCACGTTCTTGTGTAACTCTTGTTTTCTTTTTTCACCTCTAATTTTCGTGAGTCTTCATCGAGGGCTGGGTTTTGACAAGCTTTAATGGGTTTATTTAACGGTTGGATAATATTTTTGCAAGTCCAATACCTTAGAAATTGATTGTACATACAATAAAAGTGGATTTTACTCTACTTCGGAGTGGAATGTTTTATCGTATTATGTAAGTGAATCGTAATTGAATTTTCGACACTTTACATGTAGCATGTAGTGTACCAAAAACTATTTAACTTAAGCATTGTGATATTTTTCGTAATAATTTACTTAGGACGGTTACGAAATTGTAAAAAATTAATAAAACTATAAAACTTGTAATAAATAAAGAAAATAAAATACAAAAATTCAATAGATACAATTTACTAATTTTAATTGTGATTACTTAATTAAAATTGACCCAACAAAATTATATTGTAAGAACATCTACTGTAACAGTTTTTCAAAACGTCTTCATCTTACTTTTGACAAAAAATACACGTAATTACAAAGTTGTATGAATGGGTTTCGACTTATTGTGACGGCAAAAATGCTACTGTGAACATTGTGGATTATTTTTATTTGGATACAATACAACCAATAGGTACCTCTAGAACTCAACGCAAGAGTTGCTAGTTCATTGAAATAAATTGTTGAGTAAAGATTGCATACCATTGTGTCTAATCGAGCTTTATGTATCAAACATAACTACATAAAACAAACTAAACTGTTACTTTACTAGAAAAGTTAAACGCTGCTCATTTTCATGTGTTAAGCCCCAATAATCGGCAATTTAATGTTGATTAATGATTTAGTAGCGTTTAATTGTAGATTGTAAAAAAATAAAAATAAAAATTTTCAATGTGTTCATTTACTACAGTAAAAAAGTGATAAACCTGTTTGAGGTAAATACATGATGAAAACTGAAAACAACTAACATGCACAGGTATTCATCATAACCTAACTTTATATCTTTTGTTATGAGAAGTGCCAGCGTGGCCGTAGCCAAAACAAATAACAACAATTGTAGCGTCCCTTCAAAATTACCTAATCTGCAAATAATCATTGCATGTTTCAATCATATAATAGTGTTATTCTCTCAAACCACGAATAGTGACATAGGCTACACAATGGGTGTACTTCAGCAGCTTCAGTTTCAGTTTATAAATGTAAGCATCTAAAACGTTCATCGGACTTAGGTTTACCATTCCACAGTGTTAATCGTCAAACCAAGAGTGACGTACACATCGTGTGTACTCGAGCTTCAGCAGGGAAGTGTTTGAGTTCATACATGTAAGCATCTAAAACATTCATCAGACCTTTGTTTCTCACTCGACGGTCCGTATTCACAACATAATGTTCCGGCCTCATTTAATATGCCTTTACACCATTGTTCAACAGTAGCCTGTGTGAATATGAATAAAAATAATGTTTAGTTTGGAAAAGAGAGTTAATTCACTCAACTCTTTGTATCGCTTGTTGTATTGTTCTGCTTATTTGTCATTTACTATCCTGTTGTTGGTTTTGTCATGCAACATAAATTATAATTGGGTTTGCTATGTTTGTAATTTGTTTAAATATTTTTCCTACAGTCACCCGACAAAGTTGGCTTCCTTGCACTGATTATAGTACAGAAAGCTGTGCTGCATTTACTTACTTCGTCGCACCGTTTATATTTTGTCACACGATTTATACTTTGGCGCGCACACCAGTATTCCAACCAAAAAACACATACCAGCGTGGTTTTATGCATGTAATCCGAGTACACTTGAAAATAGGTTGGCAACACTTAAAGATACTACTACTATGATCAGCTGATTGACTGTTGATACTACGATTTAACCTGTCATTTCGTGTTTATATTCTATTTTCGTTCAACACTTGGTTTGAACATAACCAAAAGTGTAGTATTTGAAAGAATAATTATTAGTGGGTTTAACATGTTAGAGAATAGTGAACTCAGTGATTGTGAATATGTGCACACTAGAAGAAATATGTAGCAGAAACTGCAAAACTTGTTTCATTAAACCTGTTTCCTGAAAAATCTATAAAAAAGTATGAACAAGCATACGAACGGTTTTCTTCTTGGTGCGTAAGTAAGAAAGTTGAAATTACTTGTTTATCCTGTAATACCACGATTACTATAAAAATACTTTTTTCTAGTAATCGTGTGTAATACTGATGTAGGGACTCAATACTGTTTATACGTGTACTCTTGAAAATAAGTAATACCATTGACTATTGGATACAGGAATAGTCAAAGGTTACCATTGACTAGGTAATACCTTTGACTATTAATACAACGTAATACTTAAAGATACTACCGGTACGACTACAATAAGCTGGTGCAGTGTTTCCCGTTCCTTTCAACTCTTTGGGGTTAACATGGCCTAAAAACGTGTTGTATAGTGTTTGAAAGACTAATTATTTATATGCTTTATAGTGACTGTAGGAAAAATATAATGTGTAACACGAGCGCAAATGGCATTTGCTGACTAGTTACACAAATAACTATACCTTTATCGATATTTAGTTTTTTGCCCGAGTTGAATAATTTGAAAATATCCTTTACAAAGTTATCACATATTTGTGTGTTGAGAAGTAAACCACTAGTACGGATTGACCATTATCTAAAGATTTGTCTGATCCTATAAGTTAAGTTCTGTATTGGCTCCACATACGTTTTGTGTCTAGTGTATGGAAAGTTCGTTTTGATTTGACCTCTGTAGTTAATTGTTCAGATAGTGAACATTCTTTTGAAATAAAACTATATGTATTGTATATACTATATAGCCAAAGAATTAGAGCACACTGTAAAGCATTACCCAAAAAATAAAATAAATCTCGAAATTATAATATGAAAATGTAATTGAACATAATATCATGATGTTTGAAGTTGATGATGAAAGTGTACTTGAAAGTAATACCAAATTAGTTTCAGTTCAAATGTTTGGGAACGTGGAGATGTAAAGTAGAGTCATCAGCAACAGCCGGGCTGTAGTAATGTCACTTGTGTTGTTGTTGTTGACGGTGAATATTGATTATAGCTTAGCCCGGAACACCTTGCTAATCACCGTCCAGCAAATGGTTTAATGTGTTCCTCTGGTTCTCGTGTTTATCATATTTTATCCAGAGTAATCAGATAAATTACTGTAGCGTCTATGCCAACAACATAAATCTCAGACTGATCGAGAGCTTATGTTATTGTTATACTGAATAGAAGAATTATTTCAGTGACTTGAATTTATTATTGAGTTTTAAATTATACCCTCTCAAAAGTACGGTCTTTTCCATTCTAGATGGGTTAGGAGTGTATTTTATGTTGCCCAAGAACAGAGTTTAGGAGGAAAATATCGTTTATGCAAACCTTTTGGTCTTATTTTTAATTTAAATAAAGAAAAATGTACCACCTCCGACCTCCGCA